AATTTCTATCAGTTTTAGATTTTAATTCTTTCAAGTTTTATTTTTATTAATTATCAATAATTATTCACATTTTAAGATTTTTATGGCAAACTTGTATTTTACAGGCAAAATCTCATTGTTTATTGGCATTGGGTATTTTCCAGTCATAATTTCAAAATGATCACTTTGTTACATCTCGAGGGGAAGTGTTAAAAAATATATTAACTCTTTCAAATCATAAGAATCGATCAAGAAATTTACTAAAATAAATCATGATTTTTTTTAGAGTAGTTCAAGAGATTTACTTTTTTATTGATCATTTATTATAAAAATGGGTAATTTATAATCTCATTTGTGAATAAACTAACTAAAACACAATATGTAGCCTCGAATGGCCTTTGTGTCTATGGAGTAAGCCATCATGGCTGAACTATGTTAATTTCTTGTCCTTTAACTATTCAAATTTTTACATGGTATCAAAACATGTTAATTACATATTGATTTTTCAAAGTTCATTTTTTTTATCTTATTGATGGGTGACTTTAAACCGCCCGTTTAGTTAATTTAAAGGACCTTGTTTTCAAACTTATTTATTGTCTTCCTAATTTTTTGTTTACTATTATTTTTCTCAATAATACATCAACTCATTATTTATTGATTCCTCTTCCTTTAAACATTTATTATTTAAGATATCTTGAATACTCTCACTGTTATTATTATAAAAACCATTATTATTCCTTTTATGATATTCATTTTCTATTTAGAGTATCAATTCTTAAGTTCTTATTTGTTGTTACATTTAAGAAGCAAACCATGAAAGTTTAACTAGGAGTTTTGATTCATGGTGCGTTAATGTTCACTTGTAATATTTTTGTGGTTGCAAGCATGTGATGAACTCAACCAAAAATTTATTTATTAACAGATTAAGATTGTTTATTGATGGTGATTACTTTGATAAGTAGATAGGGCTACAATGATAATAAAAGTGGTGTTAATACATATAAAACTCGTGAAAATTAGAATTATCATTACTTTAAGGAGGCATGTTAACAAAGTAATCAATGTACATATTATCAATTATTTTCTGATTAATAAAAATAAAAAATCAAGCAATTAAATAACTCAAGACAAAAAATTATTTCAACCATCTAATCAAAAAGATGATCAAGTATGGATAATTTATTTTATTATATTTTCTTATGTATTTAGTCATACAACTAGATAAACTCTAAATGAGTTTAAAGTAACTCATGAAAATTATTGATGAAATTATTTTAAATTTTAAATTTTCACATGGATGAAGTGGATACAAAAAAAATATTTTAATGAAAAACAAAGCCTTGATTAATAATACTTGATGGGTTGTAAGCTTTCTGGCCAATCAAGTCACCAAGAAAAATACAATAGTTGACATGAGGAGCGAATTTATATGGAATGCACATAACAATAGTATATGCAAAAAACCCAAGGACTTGAAGATAAGAATAAGATGAGTCCTTATCATAAAATCTCTTAAAAAAAATGTTCTACGAGAGAAGTTGTATGGATAGATGAATAATAAGATGGAAAAAATAATAACATATTTAACTAAATATATAAAAGAAGATAAGTTTAAACATGAAAGGTTTGAGCATACTTAAGAATGTGACAATGTTTATGCTCTACAACCCTAAAAGTTCTGTGTTGGAAAAAGAAATTTGACAAGTAATTGTTATGTTTCACTTTTTTATTACATGACGAAGAGCCTTGTGAATCTAGAGTAGTCATTCATAATAGTAAAAAAAATAATATCTAGTACTGGAAAAAGACATTCTAAATAAGGGTCTCAAATATCATAAAGAATTAATTTATAATGTTGAACAGACAAAGTAGAGCTAGTAAAGAAAGGAAGTCTACTTCGTTTTGCAAATACACAAGCTTCAAAAGGATTATGTGTCTTAAAAGGAAAACTTAATGAATATTTGGTCAAAAACTTAATTTAAAGGAAGACATGTGACCTAATATACAATGTTAAAGATAACTGAAGGAGATAACTTGAAAACATGATGGACGATTAGCAATGGTCATTAAGGATCTATGTTTTAGTTTGTTTGATGCTAATACAACCAAGTAATAATGTCCACCTTGTTGTTTACCCAAATCAATTATCTCTTTGTTGTAAAGTCCTATAAAATATATCGGTAGGGAAAAAAAGTTAGGGTATAATCAAGGCTTTTTGTAATGTGATTCACATAAATAAGATTCATTTTAAAAGATACACCAAACATATTTTTTAAATGAAAAACTAAATTCAAAGATAAAGTTTGGGTTGATTTAATACGAATTGTTCTCCACTTGACATCATAATTGGTGGTAAGAAGGTAATTAAGGTATTCTTACTCTTATTGACATGTAAATTTAGAAAGGAAAGGTAAACCTTAACTAAAATTTTTCAGTATTAGCAAGAATTTAAATTTAACTTGGGGTAAAATGAGTTAAATAATTTTAATAAAATTAATTATAAACAAAATAAAAATATTATCGAAAAAATGTGAAGAAAAGTTTTGGAAAACAATGACTGTTGAATATAATATAAGAAAGTTGGTCATGATAATATACCTTAAAGCAAACAACTTACCCAAATAAAGAATAATGACATATTTGTAAATAAATAGAAATGTGGCTAGTATATATCATAGTTTTTAAACTTGACCTGATGGTTGACTCGGTACAATGATCGAGTCATAAGTCAACTAGGTTGACCCGGGTCGAGTCAACCTAAAAAAATTTCTAATGCAACATTTATATAAATAAAATTTAAATTTTAAACAAATAACATAAATTTAATTCAATGTTCAAAATACAAATCAAATATAAATTCTAAAATATTTAAAACAAAGCGTAAAAAAACATAAATTCTAAACCAATATTCATTAAAAAAAAAAAACACATTAATTTTTGCTGAATAAACGCATTAAGTTTTTTGGTGTTTATAGGAGCAAGATTCAAATCAAATATCGATGGAATTGATACAATATCATTAACACCTAATAAAACATCATCACACTTATAACTTAATCATCACAATCATCTTCAATCTCATTAATATTTATGAATCTACATTTAAAACATAATTAAAGAATAAATATTACATGTTAAACAATACTTTATTTTAAGTAATATTTTTCACTAAATGATCCATCATTAATTACCAACATTTAAAGTTTATTGATGGTCATTGTTGATAAAGCATGGTGAAAACTCTTTGTTTCTTCAGTTGTTAAAATTAACAAGTCATCTTCTACTATCTAATTTTCAATGTCACATATTATCTTAAAATTAATTGGACATAACTTCATCCTTTCCAATAATTCCTACATATTCAAAGTGAAGGTAAGCTCAGTATAAGTATTAGTGATACTATCAAATAAGATAAAATAATATTTAAAGAATTAAAGAAAAGAAAAATACTTTTGTTCCAATCTAAAATTGCAATGGACCTAAACAAAATTATTAAGCCTTTGATGCTCCAATATTTTTCTCTTCTTGGAGTGAATATGTTAAAAAAAATACTTGAATTCCTCTCGTATTATGAAAAACTACAAGTTTGATTTAACATATGTATAACTAGATTTTATAGATTTTGAACACTAGTTCCATATGTCATCCATTATTTATTTATATACAAAATTAATAAGTAATATTATGTAAAGGAATATTCTTTAAATATAAAAACAATATACCTAGAAGTATAAAGGTGTATATTTTCATAAACAACTTCATCCACATATAATATTACTTTGCAATGTTAGATTTTCATGTGCATATTTCTAAATAACATCTAGAAGTCTAGAAACGGTGCTCGTATGTTTATCTATTATGTTTGTATCATATTGAAATCGAGGATTCAACCAAAATACAGCCACATAAGAATTTCTATATATTTATACATCACACCAATTATTGATAATATCTAAGAAAGGCTACATACTCTAGCATTTTTCTTTTGAAATTTCCTCAACATTTCTTCCTTTACATAATAAATAACATCATACAAATATTTCATTAAAGGTCTATCATCAATGTCAACCATTCATAAAACTCAAACTAAATGTTCAGTCATTCGTACAATTATTGTACATTCTTTTCAAAACAGAGACTTCAACACACTCTTAACATGATTTTTTTTCTTTTCTTTATCTTTAGCGTGAGCAGAGTATACTTATTCCCTAAATATCTCCATATCTCTCAACTCATTTTTATGAGCTAAATTGTTTTGCTATATAATGAAATTGATAGTAAAGCGAGTACGAGCTAGACGAAAAATTTTGTTTGTTCTTTAGTAAACGTATTGATAGTAAAGCGAGTACGAGCTAGACAAAAAATTTTGTTTGTTCTTTAGTGAACGTTCTCATCAAATGCAATGGATAACAATGATTGTAAATATACATTGTAATACCAAAAACATGCTCAATAATAAAACACAGTGACTGTAATTTACCAATGTCCTAGAATATAAGATTGATTAGTTATTATATGCACAATGTTTTCTAGCCCAACATACAAAACATCTTTAAACAATTGACATAACAATCTAATAGTCTTCGATACATTTGATACATCTATATATTTTTTTTAATATTTATTTAGAATAATATGTTAACTTAATTAAATTCTATACAACTAGTCCATTAACTATTAATATACAACTAGTCTTCTTAAAAATCTCTCTCTCAACAACTCCCAACATACTTTTTTTTTATCACCACTTTTGTCAAGTAATTGTGTTATTTTATTAAAAAAAATAAAAAAACCTTTTAGAAAAATGCAAAAACAAAAGGATTAATTTGCGTGCTTCGGAAAAAACAGTTTTTTGGTTGAAGGACATTCGCTTCTCCCCGTAACACATGCCTTCCAAAGTGAAAAAATATTCAAAGCTTTTACACAGCTTGCAAAGTAGAAATCTCAACCTCCCCCCACCATACAAGGACAAATACATTAATATCGGTTATCCATTCCTTGCTTTCATGTTGAAACCAACATTTACGGAAACTGTACACTTCCAATAACACACTCATGAAAAATAAATCACAAGAACATGAAAATAAATGGTTCACAATGGAAAGCAAGGCGAGAACCATGCAACTAGCACCAGATGCCTGCCAAAGACTCGAGACCTGAAAATTAGGACGCTCAATTGAACCTTTCTATATTCGTGGTGAGCATTTGAATATATTAAAACATGTAGATGGAAATACCATGTATAAATCCCCCGCCCCACCCATATGGAAAAATATTTTTTGAAAACTAGCAAGTAAACCTAGAAGCACTGGACATGATTTCTTTTTTTTGCTTTTTCTAAAAGGGATACAATGAGCATCACTATCATCTAAATAAACTTTTCTAGTATCCTTGATCTGTTAGGGTCTGGAGGCCGGAAATCTTCCAAACGCAAATTGGAGGCACCACGAATCTCATTTAAGACAGCTTCTCCTTTCTCCACTTTGATTATCTCCAAAATACTGCCAAGAACATCCCCTGCAAGCCCAAACTTGAGAAGGCTGCCCGGTTCCTCTCCGCCTTCATGTAGTAACCGCACAATCTCTGATAGAGGGACAACATTTTCTACAACCACCCTGCCAATGATGCTTCCGAGAAATTCTGGTGCTCTGGGGGCATCATTTACAGCATCCTCCAACGTAGTCAGGATGGATTCAAACCTGGTCAAACAAAATATAAAAAAGCAATCACATTGTAGATATTACAAATTGTAGATAAGCGAGATATTAAACTCAATGAAGCACAACGACAAGGTAAATTGTTCCTACCCTTTGATGAGCTGGTTTGAATCCAATATGCCATTTTCAGATCTTGCAAGGCTGACAAGAAGCTTGGCCAAAAGATCTCTCTCCAAGTCCTTCCTCTCGAATGAGTCTGTAACCCAGATAGAGATCATTGAAGGATGGAAACTTGGGGAATTCAATTCTTTAATGCATAGAGCAACTTCTTTCTCGTCACTGGCACTGAAAAGAGAACATTTCAACCGATGTCAGAAAATATACATGCTGAGCCTTATGATATATTACACTCTAACCCTCATGAAATCAGCTTCTTCTGCCATAACACAAATATTATGACCATTATGGTAGAACTGGAAGAAAAAAAAAAGAGCCAAATAAAAAGGGCGAGGGGTAGACAAAAGGGGATTGTTAAGGTTGGTTACAAATTTTACAACAGTCCGGAAGAAATCTGCCAGATACAGATTTCCTCAAATTAAAACACAAACTATCATATCACATCCAGCCCTTTCAGGAGCAACATGACATTCAGCTTATCAAGGACAAATGAAAGCTAAACTGGGTAAAGGTTTACCCTGGAGTGCAGGAGACTCATTTAATACTTACCACACTCATATCATGTCTCAGATTGGGATTTCATGCCTGAGCATTGATTGTGGTTTCCCTAAAACTGTGTGACTGTCGGTTAAACACAGCGTTTTTGGGTTCCCAAACGTTTCATTTTTCTCTTCTCATGTCCTGTCTTGTGAATGCAATACAAACCAAAAATAACTCCTGAATGGACTTGTTATATAATAAACAATGCATCATTTTTCACGATCCATCCATTTCTACCACAAGCTACTATTACCTTCACCCAGTTTGGTAATAAGCAGTCTATTTTTAACCCTGTTGATAACACCTGAACCAAAATTTGTCTTATTCCCAGAATGGTGAGCTTGCACGTGTATGGAGAAACCAAGTACAAAGAATCACAAAGACAATAGTCCCCCTTTCCTACATGAAAATACTGTCAACCCTAGGAAACAAGATTGTGTTCAACAGTAGCAACCAGCAGACTTGCATGGAGCTACGCCTATTTTTGTATGATAGCATAATGCGATACATCTGAGTACAAAAGACATTGCGAAACAAGGTACTGAGGTTTGCGAAACATGTTAAATTTGGGTGAAACATGTTAAACTTGGGTGAAACCAATAATTAACTTCGATACCAATTGATTATGATTCTGCTTAGAAATAATCAAAACCAATAATAGAGAGATGATTGGGAAAAACACATGCATGAGAGGAAATGGTACCTGTAAAACTCTTTTATTGCGGCCATGGACATATCTCGCAGTCGTTCTTCAGGCCACAGCTTTCCTGTTGGGGTAGCCTGGGAAAAAGTTGGTCCTTGTGCTCTTGTTGGTGGTGATGATCCAAGAGGCCTATCAAAACCATGATCTAGATTCCTCAGATCCCTGTTACCATAATTCATATTTCGTTCCTGACCATTCATTTGATCACAAGCAGGTGGAACTGTAAATCTGTCTGGAGTATATCTTGGAATGAGATCTTCCCTCGGGCTGTAATTTGACCGTTCTGAAATGGCACTAGAACCATTCAAACCAGCTGCCATTCTTCTTGGGTCACCTGGGCTTGGAGAAATATCAGCTAAAAGAGTACCCATAATGGCAGGTTGTCCTCTAATGGACATTCCCCTTGCAAGTCCACCTTGGGGACCCAAAGTAATAGAATCATCACCAAGGGGTCTTTGAGGCAAGGGAACAGACAAAGTCCTAGCCTCGTAAGACTGTCTGTCCTCAAACCGAACATCCTGGTGGCCATGCCCACGAACCTGAGCGGGAAACCCTCGAAAACCCCCCATCTGTGCATTCGGAGAAGGCAACATTGCTGACCCTCTTGGACTAAAATCCACAGGCCCCCTTCTTGGAGAAGGATTGATTCCAGGAGTGCGAGCCAGCCTGCTAGTTTGCAGCTGTCGTTCTTGAGCAGCATCTCTATGTACTTCCTCGATCTTTTTCGGCCCTGCAACCTTCCTCCTCTGCTGCCCTTTGTTTTTCCTCAGATCAATAGAATCCTTCAACATAAACCTAACCCTAGATGAGAGTTTCATGTTGTTCGATAATTGCACCATCATCTCAAAATATGCATCCATATGCTCCTTGGCTTTGGGATGGTCGATCATCTCTCCAATTGTGCTCATTAGTTTGCAAAGAGCCTCAACATCTTCCTCATTGGGATTCTGATATTCACCCATCAACTTTTTGATGCACTCATGCATTATTCTTTCAGTCAACATTCTTTTTTTATAAAGCTCCCCAATAAGTCTTATGTTACCAAGCATTCGTCTACGAGCCTTGATTCTCTTTTCTTCTCTTTCTTCTTCAGACTGTTTAATCTCACCCTCTTCATCAGCTTTATCAGCTTCTTCTTGCTCTCGCTCCCCTCTCTCAAATTCTTCCTGACACTTGTTCAGAAGTAACCTCTTGAAATTTACCTTTTCATTATCTTCAGTGAGTTCAGGTAACTCTGCCGCTAGATGAAAACAAAAATTAGCATACATTTCACAGAAAGTAGGCTCCATTAACGCTTTGTCAAAGATCTGTGAGATAACGCCATTGAGTGTGACAACATTGTCAATGTTAACAGCTTTTACTTGGTCAAAAAGCTTCTCAAAATTCTGAGGTGTTAGTTTGTTCAATATGCCTTTCAGTTGTCTTTGCTTGGCTGCTTCTTCATCTGTCACTTTACCCACTTCATACTTTTTCTCAGCTTTGTGCATAGTCTGTAATGGAGTCTGAGGAGAAGGAATTGATCCTTTATGGACATAAATAGCAGCACGCTGCCATCTGTCAGCATCTAAGCCACCTCTTTGCAGCCCTCCCTGTGGACCCATTGATTGCATGGGTCCAGATAAAATCCCTCCTCCATGATGTACAGGACTCTGTGCTCGTGGATTCCTCAGAGCACCATAGTTGCCTCCTGCAACCGGTCGAAAACCTACATTAGTTCCATAACTGATATCGAAGTGTAAATCCCTTCCAGGACCAGATGGACCAGGCTGTTTGCTCCATCGGCCATCATCAACTATACCACTCCCACGGCGGTCTATTCGAGATCCGCTATTAGACCTGTCCATAACCCTTGCAGGACTGGGGCATGGATCACGATCACCAAGATGAGAAACAGTGACACCCATCAAGGAGCCTGCTATATCAGATGGAATTTGAAAACCTCCAGGAAGATCAGTACATTGCTCAGAAAATTTAAGGAGGAAATCTCTGGAATATTTTTTTAATGTGTTGGCATTCCCATCTGTATCATGCTGTCCCAATCCTCCAAGTGATAGTTCCCCATCAATTAAACTTTCCAATTTCAGTGTAGACACGTCTGTGGCATCTTCCCAATCATCTGGCTCAGCTTTATTCTGCATGCTTTTCTCACCCGCTACAGTCTGAACCTGAAGGGCATCAGCAGGTGCCTGCTTCAGATTAGGGCTAGTGCTTTCTATTACTTCTGAAGAGATGGCATTTTCTTTCTTCTCCTCTGGGCCTTTATATGCCCCATAAAGATCAGAAGTCGTCCCAGCAAGATCTGCTTTCAGAAGAAATTCTTTTTTCTTCTTCTTGACTCTATTAGTAGTACTCTTTGATCTAATCAATTCAGCGGGCTTTTCTTTGGAACCAGAAACTTCAAGGGGGACTGTTCCACTACCAGCATTTTCTGCACCTTCCCCTTCATGTTTTGCAGTGGACTCGGAGAGATCAGGCAATGGTGGAGAATCCTGATGACCTGAAATACCAGATTTGATAACAGAAGCTTCTTTATTACCTATGTTATCACTGTGACTCAAAGATCCATCTAAAGGCTTTATGTCATCTGCAGAATTGAACTTTATGGATGTGGAAGCACCCGCATTATCTGATATGTGGTCATTTGCGGTGTGGCAAGTCACGGGTTCCACCAGCCCCTCCTGCGCAGTGTCTGAGGCTGGAACCTCATTGCCAACAGATGTGACCATTGAATCAGATACCTCTTTATCTTGCTTGACCTGGTCTGCAGATTTTGAGTTAATTGATGCTGAAGAAATGCTGTAATCTTTTTTAGGACATTCAGACAGAGATTTCTCTATTTGCTCTTCTTTTGCTGGAATTTCACATTTTAGTTTTTCCTGCAGTGAAGAATCATCCAGCTTAGCATGAGGAGAAATGTGTGTGGTATGAGCAATTCCAGCAACAGGAACTTGAGATGAAACACTGTCAAAAGCATCTCCAGCACTGTCAACCTTGGTTTCAGAAACATCAGGATTCCAGACAGCAATTGCTGACACTGGTTCCTTGATTGATTTTGTCAAAACTTCACTGTTTGCTGATGATGGAGGACTCTTCTCATTTTCTGCAGTTTCAGAAACCCCAGTGCCAGAAGATACACCATGTTCCAAAGGGTGAGAAGACAAGCTTGCCGACAAGATTGTCTGTCCACCAATCTGTAAAAGGAAAAAAAAAAAAAGCAAATGAAGAGATAGAACCACTCAAAAAAGAATAAAATAAAATAGAGTGAAACTAAAGGAATGTGTGATCTTGAAATCCGCGTATTAGTACCTGATGCTGAGGCTGGATATTTCCTTTCTTGCCTGATTTCTTCTGATGTTCCTTGATAAAGTTTGACCCACTCAGAGCTTCCTTTTTTGGGCCCTCAGCAATAGATACACTTCGTATTGCCTCCTCAGACTGAGCTAGTGAAGCAGAAGCTGCACCATCAACAGCAACCGCTGCAGGCTGTTTAGCTGCCACTGGCAGTGGCTTCACCAATGATTCACCACCAGATTTTGTCTGCTGTAAAGAGCTTTCTGAAGAAGCCTCTGAATCCCTTTGAGAGTGAGATGGGCTAGCTTCCCCAGATGACCTTGAAGATTTGAAGAATCCACCCTTTTCAACAACATTTGGAAAAGATGGCTCCACAACTTTCTCTCCATGAGAACCAACAGCTGGTTTAACAGTCACTTGCACCACCCCAGATGGAATCAAGGAGATTGCATTACGAGCATGTTCTGAGTTCTGTGGTTCTGCAACACCATGAGATGCTGTCCCAGACTTGCTAAGTGGACGTGAATTAAGAGCAGATGCGTTCATATATGGTACATTTTGGGGGGGCTGGCTAACTGGATAGTTAAACCTAGGTGGTAGCTGAGAATTAGGAGCTATTTGGCTACCAGTTAATGGTAGAGAGCTTGGAGCTGGAAAAAATAAATTACTGGCATTGTAGGAACTAGGATAATAGTTAATTGGACGAGAAGGTGCAAATGATGGAATTGGCTGGGTCTGGGGAACATTGAGATGAGACCTCAGTCCTGATGATCCACTATCTGGATATGCATCTGTTCGCTTATCAAGCCTCAGCTCTTCATGTGTCTTTGGATCAGTAATCTTGACAGGCGTTTTATGTTGACTGCCAAATTTACCACCCTGCTGTGCAGAATATTGGGAGGTCATGCCATATGCTAAGCTGCCTAACTGAGGTATCTGAGGACCCATGGGATTCGTAAAACTCATGGTTTGGCTCTGATGCATCATTCCTTGAGGCTGCATAGGATGGTGTTGGAGACCTTGAATAAACACCGACTGTTGCACTTGAGGAGCATTACCCATAGGTAATTGTATTGGAACATGCAGTGAATTGGCTGGGACACCCTGAGACTGGATTTGCGGGCTTGGACCACGAAACTGAACCGAGACTGGTGGCTGCTGATATTTCATCTGCAAAGAATTCACAGGAATCGGAAGAACAGAGGGCTTCTGTGTCTGGCTCACAGATGGTGCAGGTGGGAGTTGTGTCTCCTTGCTGGCCTTGGGAACTAAATGAACCTCTCCAGTGCTAGTTTGGACTGATGAACAAACTTCCTTCCTAGGCAGTTGCTGCTTAGGAGCAGGAGTCGGTAATGAGGGAGCAGGCCTAAATGCATCATGATATGCCTGCAAGTTGAAGATATGGCATAACTGCTTTGATATTTATTTATAGACATAATGACTATATACATCTCCAACCAAATATCAAAAAAATATACAACTATCAAGATTCAATAACTGAAACACATACTATAATACACTCAAAACCAACAACTGTAGCGGAATTCAAGTGAATACTATTAAAGAGATAAAGAAAACATGGAACATCTTCTTTATCTCAACTGCTATTATTTTGCAGTGTCAAAAACTGCTTCAAAGGATATTCCAAGAAAATGAAAGCGCTTGGGAGAAAAGAGTGGCTAGTTGGGGGAGAATATACATACCTGGTCACGTTTCTGCTCATCCAAATTAGGGGGCGCAGAGCTTGTTCGAGCAGGAACCTAGAGCACAATCCTTCAGCAATCAAAAACTAAATATTGCAAGTTTCAAGTTGCACTTAAAGCTTAAAAGAGTAACAATTACCTGCATCCCATTCATAAATCCAGGACTAATGGACCCAAATTGAAAAGCAAATGCCTTAGATGAATCTAAGGGGGCTGTGCATCAGAAGAAAATGTAAATGAATGACTTAAAATTCCAATCCAGGACTACAAAACAATATCATGAGAAACAAACGCTGAAGATCACTATACCAGACACACAAAAAAGGCATTAAAGTCGTGTGCACCCATAGTAGCATGTTCACATTAAAAAGGGCAAACTTACCCTTGGCAGGTGTCATGGGAGCTCCACTCTCCGAACTTATGGTGGCAGGTCGAGAAGTTGGACCCTTTGGAACATCTCGGGTGCTTCTCTGAGCAGCCGATGCTTCTGTCGGCTTGGTAACACCGCTTGCAACAGATGTTCCTACAAAAGAAAACATCAAAACAATCGAAAAATTATAAGGAAGAAAATTAACTTTCCCAGCAAAAAGCCATCAAAACTCCAAACTTTGCATTCAATTGTCCCATTCCTTCCACCAAAAGCGCAATTTTTCCCCTACAAGAAGGTAAAAATCATCAAACATACCATGTGATTGGTGTTGCGTCGGAGTACCATTCTGCACATTACGGATTGTAGAAGCAGCATTATTACCGGAATCAGAAGAATTCACAACAGGAGGCAAATTTACCCTACTAGATTGCCCTCCTCCTTGCGTAAGATTAGTAGGCTTCTTATTATAACTGCCCAACATCCAAAAAAAATATCAAAACAGAGCAAACCGTAACTCATCCTCCTCTTAGATCAATAAAAACCCTGAGTTTTTGACAAAAAAAAGGGAAAGAAGTGGGTACCTGCGATTGGAAGAAAGAGAAGAAGAAGACGGTGAAGGGACGGGAGGGCCACCGCCCTTACCGTGAGAAACAGTGGAAGTCCGTTGCTGACTAGAGCTAACGGATCGTCCTGGTTTCCTATATTGTAACTCGCTCTTATCACTGCCACCCCTTGATTGATTGTAGGACATATATTCTTATTTTCAATAAATTATCTGCAAAGATTTAAAATTAAAAAAAAAATCAGATCCACCAGACAATTCAAAATCAAAAGTCAGTAACAATTAATAATTGATTAGGGTTTCTGATTAGAAAGTTGATTGATATCGCACCCGGTGAAGTGAGGAAGAAGAGGGGGAGTGGGGAACAAAGAGACGGAAATTAGGGTTTTACTGGACGGTCATGACGGGAGAGGTGGGGAAGGGATAAAAAAAAGAAAAAAAAAATAAGTGAAGCAAAGCATGTAAGAGTTATAAATTTATAATTTTTAAGATTAAAAAAAAATCCTGGAGAGAGAAGGATAGATGGGAATGGTAACAAACTAACTAAAGGCAAGGTGATGGTCAAATGTTTAGGTTTTTTAGGAGATCCAAATCCAATATCGAATAGGTCAGTCAATCACTTACTTCTTCTTCCTTTCCTTTTTTACCTTTGTTTTTTAACTGTGTCGCCGACCTTTCCTTTTACTTTAAGTTTGATTCACGCGCCGCCGTGGTGGTTGTGGGGTTGGAGGGCGGTTGTGAAAGGGGGGAAAGTTTGTGGTGCTTGGAGTGTTGCGAAGGTTTTTGCCTTCGAGGGAAAGTTTTGTAAAGTTTTACATGGAGTGCGGTTGTTGGATGTTGAGCGCTCCAGAGATTTCTGTTTACATTACAATTACATGTTACAAACACCTGAACTAGTGTATTGCAAATATGAAGGGAAGATGAGATTAAAAAAGTGTTGTATAATATTCATGTAGTTATTTTTTTAAGTATTTTTTTATTTATTAGAATAATATTTTTTATTTTTTAATATTAATATATCAAAATAATTTAAAAATATAAAAAATAATTAATTTTAAGTAAAAAATAGAATTTTTATGAAACACTTTTTAGAATATAATTTCAAACAACACCTGAATATATGGGTTTAGTCGTATTTGTGCTTTTTTTTTGTTTTTATTAGTGTTTTATATCATGGTTTCAATTAAAAATATATATATATAAAAATAAACATGCATTGATTGATGTTCTAAAGAATTATTAAAAAAATTTGACTTGAGGTGACCGAAGTAGATTCAATAAGCTCATTGTATTTAATTATATAATAAAAAAAATACAATAACAGTAATTAATCAAATTAAAAAAAATCATGATGACATGTCAAAAAATACATTTGCAAAAATTCTAAAAAGATGTTTATAATCTTACTTGAGAAGGTCTCTCTAACTTAATTGCTTCTTATAATTTTTGTTAGATTAACTTTTTTATTTTTGATTAAATAATCCTTGATAGATTAACTTTTTTATTTTTGATTAAATCCTTAATTAAAATTAATTAGATTCATTCAAAGCCCAAATAAGTCATAAGATTTAATTATTTTATAAGTCAGCTCGGATCTTTAATATCTTTGATCTTAAATTCTCGTTGTTTTCTACAATTAGGTATTTCATTGTTGTAATTGAGTTTTCAATCTTTGCCTTTTGATCTAATTTAGTTTTCTAACTTTTAATTCACATGATTAAATTCATCTTCAATCTATTTTTGTCAACAATACTTCAATATAACTATTCATCTAGCGTTTTGACCTAACATTATTGAAAAACTCATGTATTTATGATGTAATAATATTTTTGGACTTTTGATTTTTTATTGTTTTTTTACATATTTGAATACTTTCTTAAAAAATATATTTTTTACAGCATGATTTTTTAGCGATCCAAAATTGAGCTACAACAATGTTAGAATTCAATGAAAATGATATGTATTGTGTAAAACTTTTCATCATGAAAAATTATGCCTACGGAGTAGAAAAGCCAAATGTGAATTCTAATCAACTGCAATAACAATAATTAATGCGTGTATCATGATTAATTCCAACGATAACAACTAATATGTGTATTGTAATCAATTGTAATGGTAGAAATTGATATATAATTGGTAATCAATTATAATGACATAATTTAATATGTTAATTTTAAACCAGACACCATGATGAACTTTATAGTATGATTTAAAGCATGTTGCATGAGCAGGGGTATTAATTAAAATGATATAAGTCAGTCGTATGAGCAAGATTATTAATTAAAATAATTTAAGTTGGTTTTATGAGCAAAGACTATTAATTAAAACAAAACAAGCCTACTACATGAGTGGAGGCTATAATTCCTAAAAGAATCAAGCTAGCACTTAAATTGAGTTTACTAGTAATATCTTAAATCAACAAATGGCTTTATGGAGCTAAGGATGAAATAATACTAGTTTTTAAAATGGTTAATGGTATTAAGGAGCCTAAGATAATAAAATAATTATATTAAATAAATAAATTGTTTAATAGGTCAAAAATCACCTCAGCTTATTAAAATAATATAAAAGAGCTACTCATAAAATATATTAAGATTAAAAAATAATATAAATACGTCATAAAATGCCAGAGCCATGGAATGACAAAAAAGGACAATTGCCTCAGCCATGGAATGACAAAAAAGGACAATTGTCTCTTTATTTTTTTAAAAAAAATATTTTTTATATTAAAATATTAATATATTAGTTTAGTGAATTGTGGCTAAATGGAAAGGAAATAAATATATATATATATACACACACACACACACAAACACAACTCATTACCTAAACTTTTCCCTTTTCTTTCTTTAACTTCCATCCTTTAACTTCCATCGACTAATAAAGAATATTTTTTGTTTTTTTCATGAGTTGTCGTCCCCTGCCTCTCTCTTATATGCAAGTTTTTCTTCAAATACACTCAAGCAATTAATCTTTTTTGCCTTTTGTTTTATATTTTAGGTAAATTTCCTTCATCTTTTCTATTTATTTTATTGTCTAATTTTACTTTTATTTTTTTATAATTAGTTATTAAAAATATTAGGATTTATTATAATTTAGGGGTTTATGATAAATGTTTATTAGGGGTTTTGATATAAATATGTTCAAATTTGTCAATAAATAATCAAGTATAATTCAATGAACATGCTTATTATATGCATATAAATATGAATTGAAATAGATTTTGATTTTGACAAGTTGATGTGTATTTTACTATGAACTTCACCTGGAAGATTTAGAAATACTGTGTAACTTAACTGACTTTTGTATAACAGTGAATTATTGTGTAGTTATGTTAGTTATTATATAGACACTGATGATGATAAAAAAATCCAGCTGGTTCATATTAAATTAACATGTCACTAGACAAGTATTTCAAGCGTAAATCCCTCAAGGATGAAGAGTCAATCAAAGCTTAAAGTCATGTAACTCAATCAAGTCCAAATAAAAGTCATATTGAAAACAACCCTGACACTCTCTTTGTTGATCCTAGCTTAAGAAAACCAATTTATGAATACTATATAAATGATAGAGATGCAATCCGAAGAGCTTGTCTACAAAAAGGTCCTTGTCAACCTTCATACTATGATTTTCCTAAAAAATAATTTAAGAATATATCATCACTATGACGCTTTAATCCGACTTGATTTGATGCATACCCAACATGGTTAGAGTACAGTATAGCCAAAGATGATGTCTTTTACTTGTATTGTTACCTCTTCAAGTCAAAAAGAGGCGTTGATTCGTTTATGGGTGATGGGTTTTCAATTTTTTTTTTAAAAAGAAATGGTCTTCATACATTCAAGATCACACCATAGTTTTTCTACAAAGATAAAAGTGGAATGTACGTGAAGAAAGAATATATGGAGTAGTAGCGAGAGTAATCTATGGTATGATCTTGAATGATAATATCCTTTTCATGTTTAGTGATCCTTCCTACTTATATTTATAGACATTTTGTAACAAAAAATAATAAAGACTAGTTATAATTAATTTGCAATTTGTTATCACGATGCTTTCTTGTATAAGATGTTTAAATTGGTCTTATAGCTCGTTGGAAAAAAAAAACAATAGAGTAAACACCAAAAAAAAAGAAGTAATTTATTGTATTAAAGTTGACATGAAGTTTATTGGATTCTATAATATTTACGAGTTGCTTAGTTTTACTTGTAGATTCTTTGTTTTTTTTTTCTAGATTCAATGAAGGCTTATTTCATGTGCTTAGTTTTACTTGTAGATTCTTTGTTTGTTTTTTCTAGATTCAATAAAGGCTTATTTCATGTTTTTTTTTTTTTTTTGCAAAAGTTAGGACTTTCTTAGGTTTGTCTTTTTGAATGATTTTGGTGTATTGACACTAAAAATTTGGATGGGAGTTTTAAGAGAGACTTGGAACCAGAAAAAAAAAATGATGAAAACAATTACGAATAAGTTAAAAAATCATATATAGTTAGTAATATGATCAATAATTTTACATGCAAACAAGAAATCAAAGGAATATTTTTATGCAATGGAAGATGGTGGTGACTTGTATGGGTTTGGATTTTTATTTTTTCCTTGTGATGTTATCATGGATGCTTGGAAGCATGAAAGGTTTAAAATAAAGCAATGTAAGGTCTATTCCAGGAAGAACAAGTTAAGATTTATTAGGAAAAAAGATATAATACCCTGACACACAGGAGCATCAAGGGTAACCTTACATCTTTTTTCATAATACCAATGGTTTTGTTTTTTTTTTTCTAAATCATTATATAGATCAAGATTATTTCTATAATAGTTCATAATATATCACTAGTTTGTTCTTAGTTGTATATAATTTAATTAATGTAGTTAGTCCATGGTGGTCCTTTTTTATTTATTATAAGAGCATGAGTTTTAAGACAAGATAAAAAGGGCAATAAAATAGACTTGTCTAGTGCAAAAAAAAAATATATCCTAGTAATAAGATAAAGTTGGGTGATGATCTTAATTTTTAGTGTTGTCATCTTTTCTAGATTATTTATGCAATATTGTTATGTAAGTTTTTTTACTTGAACATGATAATGTTTTTCATGCTTGTTACATTAAGGCTGGGCACTGGGTTGTGATATGATAGAATTGTTTGAGGTTTAAGAGTTATTATAACTTTTCCTTTGTGTGTGGTGCTTTGAGTCTGAATTAGGTTATGTTTGGTGATGTGTTTTTATTCATAGCTTTTAAAACCTGTTTGTTTTCACGTTTCAAAAGCGAAATTTGAAAAAAATTATTGTTTTTTTGCTTTGAATTAATTAAATTTTTTATTTTTGATTTTTTTAATGTACTGATGTTAAAAATAAAATAAAAAAGATATTTTAATACATTTTCAAGTAAAAAACACTTTGAAAAATAATCTTTATCACACTTTCAAATATCACCTTAATTCGGTTGTTATCTACCATAATTCTATAAGAAAACCACGAATCCTCTATTTGTCTCTACTCTTTATGCATTCACAAATGAAAAATTCAACTTCTACTAAAAAAATTTGAGTTTATTTCTTACATGATCATTCATGAGATGATGCATAAATGTCCAGTTTTTTTAGCAAGTTGCATTTTCAGCAAGCAAAGAATGTGGTTTTGGATTCACCAGAGTTGATGCACTTTTACCAAGCTCTCCCTCTATGTTCTTTTTTTGGGTTGTTCTCTTTTCTAAGCCAATAGATGGATAGATATACCCTCATCACCTTCCTTCAAGATTTCAACATTTAACCATATAATAGGTGACCTAGTGGTAAGAGCTTGGGACCAAGAGGTTTGCTCCTTTTATGATCTCAAGTTTAAGCCATGTGATTGCTAATATGATGGCCACTAGAGGTTTATATGATCATTAATTTCAGGATCTGTGGGATTAATTGAGGTGCGCACAAGCTAACCCGGACAACCATGTTAATAAAAAAAAGATTTAACATTTGATCAACTCTTTATGTATTCTTTTTGACAAGCTAGGATTTTGCTCTGTCAAAATATTTTTTTTCCTTTATAGTAAGATTATTTTTTATTTCAGTTTCTTCCTCTAAATTCCAGTTGAAAATCTCTACCCGGTGAAAATTTTAATTCGATATGTTCTTTATAAATTGCATGCTTGCTACCTTATTGTATGGCCTGACACTAGTCTAAAATAGAGTAAAAATTAAACCAATTGTCCAGACATCACATGCATTTATAGTTTAAAATATATCTGCTTTTAATTGTTAATTCTCTCCTGTTGTGTTGAATTTTTGTTAGTTGATCAGCTTGTTAATCTTGTTCTTCCTTGTTCTATTTTGGTAGAAAACTACATAGAAAAACATGTTTGTCCTCTTTTGTAGTCAATAGAGTCTAGCATCCTTTATGGATCATGGAGTTTTCTTCTTCTTCCTTTTCATCTTGTATATAAAAATTTTTATATGTTTTTTATCTTGAAAAATATTTAATGATAATACTATATATCACTTGAATCATACATAATTTATAGATTAGATTGCTGGTAAATACTTTTAAAAAACTCATTTTGTGCATTTGAATTATTTTCTACTTTGAACATTTTCATTTCAATGAAGAATTAAAGTTTTATCTCAATTTCAAATTTTAATTTATTTTATATTTAAACCATTTAAATTTTTATTTTTAGCCAATGTGATCTTTTTATATTGTAAATTAAGATTGAAAATTGTTTAAAATTCAAAGATATAAAAAGAATAGCAAAATCAACTTCATTTATTGTTTTATTATAAGAAACTTTTAAGAGTACAAATAATTTTATACTAGTTACTTTCTATGCTAAAAAACCTCATATGTTAATATTAAGAGTGAAGCTCCTCCCTCTCTTTTTGTCTTTTTCTAGTTTTCCAATTCCGCCTTCCTTTTTTTTTTTTTTTCTTCAATCACATCTTCAAACTTTTTTTGACCTTTTATACAAGTTTAAAAATAATTAATTAAATTGATTAGATCATGTTAAAACAATATTTATAAAATTTAATTTTAAACCTGAATTAAATAAAAAATTGAATAAAAAATTTCTTTTTTTCCAATTTTTTCTTAGGTTTTTTTATTTATTTATTGGGTTATTTCTAAACTAATTAAATTGATTAATTCACATCAACAAAACTCTCACGTAATTTAATTTTAATTTTAAATTTTTAAAGAAATGGATCAAAAAAGATTTTCTTTCTAAATTTCATTTCTAAGAACATCCAAGTTGATTGGGTAACAAACTTACTTAAATTAGTGTCTAAAAATAAGCAACTGAAGTTGAGATTCTTTCATGCTGTTAGGTTTTCACAAGAAAGTGCCAGATTCTCAATGCAAATGCAACACGAATTCATTCTACACCAAACCCGCAAAGAGAGCAGCACTTTCTGGCTTCTGCGATGCTTACTTCAATTGCAAATAATAGATGAATATCATAGGATGACTTCTTCTTTTTAAATGAGTAAAAACCTGTTTAATATTGTAATTATAATTATTTTTTAAAATATTTTTTACTTAAAATATATTTATCAAAATAATATTTATTTTTTATTTTTAATATTAGCATATTAAAATAATAAAAAATAAAAAATATATTAATTTAAAATAAAAAATAAAAAAATATTTTTAAAACACAAAAACAAACAAAAAATAATAAAAAATATTAATTTAAAATTAAAAATTTAAAAACTAAAATATATTTTTAAAATACAATAACAGAAAATAAACTACTACAATGCATACCTGTTTCAGGCCTGCTTCAATGAATATTTTGAATCGACCAGCTCCTGCTTTCCCATCAAAACTCTTTTGCCTTTTTCATTTTTTTGGCTCATGACGTTTAGATTCGCATCTCGTGGTTCAGAAACTATAATAACTAGTTCAAATGAACATTTGCTTGTTCGGAATTACTATATTTCTTCTATGTAATTCAAATAAATAAATGAATAATCAAAAGATGCATCTAGAAAATCACTGTTTAATATACATAATATAACATAAATAAACAGAAGTTCAAACATGAAATCTTAAATCTCTTTAGATCCATTAATTTCCTCGAAATTTGTTCGCAGAAAGGGAGAAAGAAGGAAGATAGAGAGAGAGACGAGCGTTCAGGGTTATACAGATCATCCCATATGAATCCTCTTTAACCCGTATAAACATTCGCCCAATAAAAGGACAAAACAAGAGCAAAAATCATCCCTGGCAGGTCTTGCAACTCTCCTTCCTCCCGTCTCCAAACTGCAGTCATACCCACCACTCTTTTAGAGATGAAGATTGATATTTTTGTCTTGATCCCAGAAGCGGAAATTTAATTTGCTCATGATATATATCCTTTCTGAAAAGTCTTCTGTTAAATTATCAAGCAACAGCAACTGTTCCTGTCCGTACAGCCTTATTAGAGGTAGAATCCTTGGGATCTGATTTTCTGGTAGATCTTGAAGAGGAAGATGACATTTTCCAGCTCTTCTTCGTCGTAGACTCATCCACCTCTATCTGTTCTTGCCTGCACTCCTTGCTGCAAAATGGTGTGTTACCTCTGCATAACAATTTTCAATACCCATCAGTAAAACAAGGACAATAATCATAAACCCTGCTCATATAGACAATGAAACTCTTTCTTGTTCGTACATGGCACGCGTATATCATACACAGACAGTTCAGACACTAGATGATTGTGTTGCTCAGTATGCAACCTTTTCTTCTTCTTCTTTTTTACAGTTTCAAGAGCCCATTAAAGAGAAGGAATAGAATTCTAAGAACTAACCTGTACATGAAGATGTCGGAGTTATAACCAAGAGGTTTGCGGCAGAGAAAACAAGCTTCAAGAAAGTGAGGCATCTGGGAATCCATGCAACCACTGTAGTGAGACATGATTGATTTCTATCTTAAAAGAAGAAACCCAAACAGTCTCTTCAACCACAAGGTAGCAGTAATTGTAGAAGAAGAAGCGAGAATGGAGAATGGAGGAAAACTCCACGTACTAAGCAGGTCGAGGAGGGTAAAGCTATGGGGGAGCTGGGCAGTTTATAAAGAGAGAGCTTACAGGGCATGCATGTTTCTTGAAAGCTCCTTTTGTTATTCGTAATGGTGTTATTTTATTTCTGGTGCCTATTTTTCAATACAATAATCAGTGGTGCTATATTTATTTTATTCCCAAGTAAACACATGAACGTTCAAAGGAGTCATTGGAGATCGGAGACACTGGGAGCCGAAGGCTCTGTAAAGCATAAATTTCAAGATCATAAGCTCATTTTTCTGTGAGAATCAGACTAATTTATAAGTTTTATATTTTATTTTTTTGTTGGTGAGAATTTTATCTGTGATTTTTTTTGTTTTATGATAGATATTTTTTTTATCGTTTGAAATGTAATTACCATTTTATGATGCACTGAAATTTTATAGCTGGCGTCGCTGACTAACCGTGTTAAAATGGTTTTGTGCTGGAAAAAATTATATTACCACTAGCATCAATCATTTTATTCATGGTTTCATGCTATGCGTGACATAGAAACATAACATATACCTAAATAATATTTATATTAAATTTTATTAGTAATGTGTAAACTATACTTGTATTAAATGTGTGGGTAAATTAATTGTTTTTTCATATAAATATTTTGAGTCCTATGTAAGTTTTAGTTGGAGTTTGTTTCCATGACTATCATGATTCATATTAAATCTATTAAATAAATACGATTTAAGATGAATAAAAACTTTAGATGAAAATATAAATGATGTTTGTTAAAATATTTAAGAAATATTCTTTTTCTTCATAAATATACATCTTCCAAGTAAGGCCTTCAATAATCTCCATTTTATATTTTGAGTAAATGTTTAATTAAGTGAGAATAATTTTTATTTTATAAAATATAATTAACAAATATATATTAATTATTTCTAACCTTTCCTATTAAGTGGAGGTTTTGGGCCATCTCCATAGTGGCTCATAGTTTAAGCCGATTTTTCTATTAAATATGAATATTTTAAGTTATTAATATTATTTTAATTAAAATAACAAACAATTTATAATTCACATTATCGTTTAAGGTTTAAATTTAACATAAAACTATAAGACATTATAAATATGATACTAGGATATAATAAATTTTGTTTTAATCGTGGCATGCATAAGCTTATTCGAGAATGTTATGACCATTGACTTAAGAAGGAACTAAATTATTGGGTATAAATGCATGATACCATTGTTCTCGTATATGATTAAATTATAATACATTATGGGTGCACTTCCATGATTTCTCTAGACAGACCAATGACTCAAGTATAATCAGGCCCCACAATCCAATAAACAACAATAAAGTTCTACTAGGAGCTGAGTAGACGGAGGCCCACAAGGAACACAACAAAGGTTAATGGGCCCCACCTTGACGCAACATCTACTTGGCTCGACTTCCTAGGGTACATGTCTATCTGGCCCACGACAACTGCCCGTATGAAACGGGCAGTTGCCCCCCTGACGTTCCTATGTACACGTGCGAACTGCTGGTGTATCCAGCGAAGCACATCGAGAGTATTCGTCAAGATACGTGGCATGTTATTAATAAAAAGATGTCTGTTCTCGAGGTCATCTTAATCGACGGTGAAGAATGTGCCATTATTTGAGGGGTGACCACATAGGGATTCCCTGCAAGCTGGAGCGAGATATTGAATAATATTTTTTTATTTTTAAAATTATTGCATTAAAATTTTTTAATTATATATATATATATTTAATTTTTTTTAAAATACTTTTTATAAACAAACAAGTACATTCTAAAATGAGTGAAGTTGAGATACAAAGAACATGGGGTTGGGAGAAAGAGTTTTTTTGTTTTACCCGACATTGAGATTCAATTTTATTTTTTAAAATAATTTATTTTTTATTTTAAATTATTATTTTTTAATGTGTTTTGATTGTTTTTTAAGTATTATGTCAAAGATAAATTTTAAAAATAATAAAAAATATATAATTTTAATATATTTCTAAACATAATTTATTTTAAAAAATAATCTTTATTATACTAACAGGTCTTTTAGCTGTAATTGTCGCCAATGTTTTTCAAAAAGCTATAAGCTATAGTTTTAAAAAAGTAATATATAAAAAGAATTATAGTATTAATTTTTAAAAAATTATCAAATATTTAAACAATTATAAAGAGATGGTAATTTTCGAGTGGTCATTTTATGTGGTTGCTGTACTAGCTGTCAGTTACTTAGATGGTTGTTTTTTGTCTTTTAATAATAATAAAAAAAAATATTTCACAGGTTGAATTTGTTAAATTCATGGAAGAATCAATTCCACTTGGACATGAGGTGCTCATCAAAGTGAGTGACTGAGATGGGTGTGGAATACACACACACACGTGTGTGTGTAAAAGAGGTGTCCTGCTTATCAAAGTGAGTGCAAGATGGGCGTGGAATATACATCGACAAAAAAAAAAACTAAATTCTCCAATAAAATTATTATACATCAAGACACATATTACTATTGATTGTTTGAAGATAAAAGAAAATGCACCAAGCTATAGGGATAAGATTATTTTTGCCATAACATAACTAGCTTTAACATATTATATAAGGTTATAATTGTTACTTCTCTTTTCTTATTCACATTTAAATTACTACTTTGGCCCTGGAATAATAAATTGTTATGTTTTTGCCATTTTTTTTTTGTTTTGAGAAATGAGATTAATTTGATGCCTTTTGATATAAAAAAAAATAAAGCTCTTGTAAGTATATTTTTGTTATTTCATATTAATTTTGTCATGGATTTCGAGATTGTTTGAGGATATTGTTGTAGTTTGTTTTATATTAAATGTTGTTTAAAAAAAATTATCTGATACACAACAACGTGTGAATAACTGTTGTGTCGTTTACGCAATGCATGTAGAGTCACCCGACCATAAAAAATAATCTTACAATAAGGTGTTTGAAAGTTCTTAACATCCTCTATATGATGGTGTGACGCGTGTCACAAAAATTTCACTAGTTTGATGTCGAATATCGTTTTTTTCTTTCTTTTTTCTATCTTCCAAAAAATTATGCCACCCATGTAAAATTTCATAACAACCCCTTCAATTTCTTTTTTCTTCACATTTGATCTTTATCTTTTTTGTTATTGTTGTTTTAATTTTAAAATAAACCATAAAATTACAAATATCTTCAACTCCACCCCATGCTATTTTTTAATCTATACATAATATATCAAATTATATTTATTTTATAATTTCACCTCTGGTATTTTTAAATATATGGGTAATCTATAAAATTCCAAAAAAAAATAATTTCACCCTTTTATTTCTCAATCTATAAATAATATATTAAATTATAATTTTTTTTGCAATTTCACTACTTACCATTTTTAATCTATAAATTACATATCAAAATACATTTTTTTACAGTTTTGCTCTCCTATGATTTTATTTTATTTTTATCTTTTAAATTTGATCCTTTTTTTTAATTACTATTTATTTTGTTTGGAATCCTTTTAAAAAATTTTGGTCTGCAAATTTCTTTCTCTTTAGGTTTTCTTCTATCAAATTTTATCTCTGATGTTTTTGTTGTTTTTTTTCTTTTAAAATTTTTTTTATTAATATATTTTTCCCATATTTCATTATTTTAAATTAAATTTATTGAGATTTAATCTTCTTGATTGGATTCATCTCCAATATTTCAAAAGTTGCAAGTTTTGGAGACTAGATAGATTTAAAAGGTTTGTCTGAGTTTACTTGGTTTCCCCTCTCTTTTTAAGTTGATCTTTTTTTTTTTTTTGTGTTTTCGTTTGATTTTTTTGGGTTAGCCCTCGATATGCTTTTTCAAATTTCACCCTCTTTTGTTTTTTAATCTATAAATAATATTTCAAATTTCAAATGTTTTTCAATTTGACACCCTGTGATTTTTTAACAATTCAAGTTTTATCTTCATTCTTTTAATTATTATTTATTTTATTTGAAATTATTTTTTATTCAAGGTCCATCCTTGTATTTTTTTATCTTAAATTTTATCTTTATTTTTCTTACTATTTTTTTTTGTTTTTGAAAAAAAAAAATTATTCATGTTTTCAACAATTTCATCATTCAAAACTCGATTGGTTGAGAATTAAGTTTATTGATCGAAGTCGGGTCCAGAATTTAATGAGTTGCGAGTTCTAGAAATTAAACTAGATTTAGGAGGTTCACTTGAGTTTGCTTTGTTTTTTTTAGCCGATGTTTTCTTTTTTTTAAGAGATCTGCTAGATTGTTTTTTGTTATTGCCTTCTCTCATGTTAGCATTAAGTTGTTTGATAATCCAAGTAAACTCAAGTTTTTTTTTTTACTGTATTTATTGTTGTTATTTTTTTTTTGTATTGTTTAAATTGTCATTTGAAGCAATCATTCGGGACTTGTAATTTTTTTACCCTAATATCTTTTTACATTAAAAAAAAATTTTGTTTGGCTAGTAGTGAAGCATAGGTAACAAATCTAGTATATGTATGATTTTGAAATCTCAAGTATGTATTATGAGGGTGTTTGGTATTGTGATCCAACTATATTTTTAAGTTTATTTTATTTTTTATTTTTTTTATTAATTTTGAATTGTTTTAACGTGCTAATATAAAAAAATTATATATTTTTATATAAAAAATATTTTTTTAAATATAATTTCTACCTTGCTTTAAAATAAATACTCAATTTATAAAGTTTGAAGTTACACGTTTGTGCTATTATTTTATTGGTTGCCTTTACAAACACCTTTATATTTTTTTTTAAGTTAACAGGACATTTTAATCGAATACAGGGAAAACGTCGCTGGTGCCCTAACAATACTCTTATCTAGATGGATAATAATAGCTTTTCATGTTCCTCTACTTATTTCTTTTCCTGGAAAATTCACTTGCCAGGTTTCTTTATCAATATATTTTTATATTTTATTTTCAACCTGAGGTAAGAGGGCAAAAAATAAGGTGAATAGCTCAGGATGCTTAAGCTTAATAGAATGATAAACCCATGTGATATAAGTTTGTTGTGCTTTGATATTTTATATCATTGAATTTAATTACATGTTAAACTCAAATAAACATGAATTTAAAAAACTTTAAAGACCAATATTTTTAGATTTAGTTAAGTATTAAGTTCAAATAGATATGGATTTAGTAAGGTGCCACACTCAATATTCTTATATTTAATTTTACGCCGAGTTCAAGTGGGCACAAGTATGCTAAGTCGCCGGATGCCATCTTAT